TTTTTTTTTTTTTTTTTCCCAATTCCAAAAATGCTTAGGCAACTGCAGTTTTCCAACCTGGTTCCAAGAATACTACGTAAATGTTGTGACTTGCTTGATGTTTACACATAAACCACTGTATTGCTTTCCATATCGTTCACCTTTAGAGTCAAACTTGGAGTTTTTGGCTCCAATTGCTATCTTTGATGATTCTTAATGCAAGTCGAGCTTAAATACCCTAGTTTGATACTTGGGTCTCCAAATGCTTTGACTAGCCTTATGTCACGATACAAAAGAATAGTGCCTTTCTGTACAAAGGAATATTCACGTGGATACAGTTATTTAGTATATACTTGTTATCGTTGATGCTTTTCTGATATTAGGATAAGCTTCTTTAGATGATGCCTAGACTCTTTGTATTGATATGGATTTATTAGCTACATGCTGCTAGCTTGCTTTTTCTACGTTGCCTTTTACATTTTTCAGATGTTTTTTAAAGTTGTGATTCTGGTATTTGCTCCTCCTTTGTCTTCTGGTTTAAGCGTTTTGCAGTGAATGACCAATTCTTCTCGTGTGTCTTGCAGATCAGTGAGGAAAATTGTCAATTTAGATGATCACATAGCCTTGGCTTGTGCTGGCCTGAAAGCCGATGCACGTGTCTTGATAAACCGGGCACGTATTGAGTGCCAGAGCCATAAGCTCACGATTGAGGACCCTGTTACTGTGGAATACATAACACGCTACATTGCTGGGCTTCAGCAGAAGTACACACAAAGTGGTGGTGTGAGACCTTTTGGCCTCTCAACCTTGATCATTGGGTTTGACCCACACACTGGCACTCCATCACTTTACCAGACGGATCCATCAGGCACATTCTCCGCATGGAAAGCAAATGCTACTGGAAGAAACTCGAACTCTATCAGAGAGTTTCTGGAGAAGAATTACAAGGAGACATCTGGCGAGGAAACTGTCAAGTTAGCTATTCGGGCTTTGCTGGAGGTAAATACTAAGTGATTTTACATGTGCCTGTCAACTTGGTGCTTCAGGTTCTGTTATTCGAAATCCTCAATTATGAAAATGCTGCTGACTGATGCTTCTTTTTATGTGTGTTTATATCTTGACTTTTTCATTTTCTATCCTTTCTTATTTCAGAGTATTATAGTAATTCGTTAGGTAGATATTAAGGGTGTGATTTGATATGGATTTTATCGGTTTCTTATTGTTTTTTTTTTTTTTTTG